TTATCCTTTGATTTATCTAACTTTTCGTCCTTTTTAGGTATTGAGTCGACCTTTTCTGTTGATGATATGGACTGTTGTTGTGAAGGTTTGTTGGTTATTAAATTTGGCGTGGGAGGAGCCATAGTAGTGGTAATATTTCCACGACGTAATAATTCTGCATTTTCAGCACAGGATTTTTTGATTTCTTGTATCTCTTTTGTTAACCCGGAGATACTTTCATCTATATGCTTTTTTACTTGCTCTAGATCTATGATTTAAAAGGTTAAGCGTCAATTATATTAAGACAATTCACGCCAAAATTTGCAAATTATAGAATAGTTAATGATTTTCATACCCTCAACATTTAAAGCTAGAACAGATTTATCTTTAACTTCACTCAGATCTTCCAATTCATAAAGTACACCAACTTGTGGATCCTTTATATAAATCTTGGGAAAGTTATCCATCCCAGGATTATATTGGAATTTCTCAACAAATAACATTTGTAGTGCAGTCATGTTTATATCTCCATCATGTCTTATTTTTTTGACATCCCTTCCAAGTTGCAAATATAAAGTGATAAAATTCTTATTACTTGAATCTAACAAGAAAAGGAAATAATAATTAGCAATAAATGAAACAAAATAAATAACTGTACCAATCGTACCTTTAACATCATCCTTTGCGTCATGTTTATCTAAATTAGGTTTGTCATTTTTGTCGTTTGAAGATATAGGTTCTATAGGTGATGTTATAATAGAGCCATTAGTTTTTAATACTGTTCCTTCTTGTACCGTTTCAACTTCTTCAGGAATGTTAAGCTCCGGCGGTTGTACAGAGCTCATTTTTTTATTTCTCCTTCCGGTTCCCCAAGCAGAATATCTTCTTGAAGCACGACGTTCAAGTTTATCACGGTTTAAAGCAGCTACAGGATCTACGGGACTACTACCGTCATTACCTTTTGATGTATCAGAAGAAGGCAAATTATCATGTCTATTACTAGGAGGAGGCAATGGGTTTTGATTCACAAAGCAAGACTGGGGTCCATTAATAGGAGATGTCGGTTGTGGACTATTATTCCCATAATTATTTTGGGTATCATTATATATAGTTTGCTTTGTTTTCAAAGCTTGTAACAAAGTTACTATGATATCTCTAATTTTAGGAAGGTGGTTCTCCAAAGAAGAAGTAGAAGCCTCTTCACGAAGAGCATTCTCAAGACATACTTTCAATTCTTGTGGAATACTCGCCATGTCACTATTACAAATTTAAATTACAAAATGACAGATTTATTATTGTATTTGATTGGGTTGATCATTAGTTCTTACCAGACTTCTTACCTCGTGTCTACACCAGCCTGTCCAAATAATTGAATAACATGGTTCATTTCAACAGCTAGTTTTACATATATATCGGAAACTTGTTGCTCAGTCGCACGTCCATTAGACCAGCCGGTCAAAGCTTCCAGCAATGATTTGGTAGTGATAAGAAGTTGGGTGACTGTGCTTTCCATTATATTCATCTAATTTTAAAGAAATTTTTCGTCTGTAAGCATAATAATTTATACAAAGATACCTATTTTATTTAAGAATACAGCGTGACTTTTATAAGAACTTACGGGAGAACTTCCGGTACTTCTTCTTTGTTGAGGAGGTGGTGGTGAAAGTTCTCTCTCTCTTTGAAGTGAAGGTGAGGAGGACGGACGACGTTGAGGAGTGGAAAAAGGATAGTTAGAGGACGAGGAAGAGGAAGAGACACGAATACTGTTCGGCTGCGGAAATTGTATCGAAGGATAG